TGGACCCTTGGGTCTGGCTGCCTTGAAAAGGTGAAAAGAAAGGTATGGGGAAGAGGATGTGTTTTAACAAAGATAATTTTATCTGTTCAAGGGATTCAGGAAGTAATTATCTTAACATTTGAATGCTAACATCTAAATATTGTAAATACATATTCTGTATGTACGTGGGAGAGAATCTCTATATCTGATACCTTTTCTCATCATCACAGAAAGGAACCGACTTCTCTGGTTTAAGATATTAACCAAAATTTATATGACAAAATCAGTATATATGAGTGTATATTTTCTCAAACCGCATTCAAACAGACCTTTTGGGGAGACAAGACACTTATCAAAATCAAGGCTCCTGACATTAAATATTCTTGTTTGTCTTTTTTTTAAACAAAAAAGAAAGTCTTCACTTTTCTTTCTTTTAAAATGCAATAAATTATACTACAACTTGCAGTTTATGGTGAGTTATTAGATACTGAACAATTGATTTTCCATTATTTTAATGCAAATTCTACATTGCTTTTTTACTATATAAAGCCATTTGTTTTCAGCTCCATGCTACAAAGACCACAGATGTTCATTGCCTAGAACAGTGTCTGATACATAGTAGTTGCTTGAAGTTTGTTAAGTGACTAAATTAAGGAGGATCTTACATATAACCATGTTTAAAATTACATATTATTATTTATAGTTTTTCCCACATAATAAGAATTATTACCATTTTCTTTATCCTCTGACCTCCTTGAACCAACTATTTCTCTCTTTTTGTGGGAGTTTTATCCTTTTGTATTTAATCTGAATCTTTTGAAATTCTAATGATACAATCACTTAACCCTCTCTTCCATTCACTTTCTTTTCTTAGTTTCAGGCAACAATGTGAAAATAATGGTGCTTATGTCTTTGTAATAACAGAACTTTCTTTGTCTTTTCTTTAGCCCCATTTTAATCCTCAGTGACTCATATGTAAGAAATGAACTGTGCAGCTGTGGTGGATCTAAGCCCTTGGCAACGACTCGATGGGCAAACAAGTGGTCTCTCACAATGGATGGTCCTTAGCTTTGAATTATTTACTGTCCAGTTTTAACAATAGAATTATATCATCAAATAGTGCCTTGGACTTTTAAAGTTTGATAAGACCTTTAAGATACATTTCCTTATTTTACAGACCTTGTTCCAACAATTATCTCCACCTTCTGTCAAGGTCGTAACATATATCTTTCTCTGCTAGGGTGACCAACTTTCCTGGTTTTCCTGAGACTATCCTGGTTTTAACATTGAAAGTCTCTCATCCTGAAAAACTCAGTGCTGGGCAAACCAAGATGGTTGGTTACCCTACTGCTAGCTTCCATCTTTCACTCTAGGTTCAAATCATTCCTATGCTAAAAAGAACTTCTTATCCCTTTATCTTGTTATCTTCTCTGTCCTCCTGTCCTGTCTTCCTCTTTTCCTTGTCAGAAAAAGAAAAGTGAACATTTAATTTTCACTTGAAATACCTACTCCTTCTTCCACTAGCTCCTCAGCTACACCTACTTCTGAGGCTCCTGCCCTCCCCTGAAATTGCTCTCACCACAGCTAGTGAACACTCTGCAATGCTGATCTTACTTTACTTCTATGTTTCACTGGGCATGCTTGGTCACCCTCTTCCTCTCAAAATTCTCACTCTCTCCTTGAAATTTCTACACTCCTCATTTCCCCTAATCTCTCCACCTATTTGTTCCTTTTCGGTCTCTCAAGAGATCCCGTTCCTCTGTTTGCCCATTAAACTTTGATATGTAGGCACTCAATGTGTATTAGCTGAATGAGAAAATAACTCCTAAATATTTTTTTTTCTCCTCAAACCTCAGATTTTATTATTTCCTTGTGGAAGGAATGTTAGCTTTCCAAGCTGAGCATATCACAGTCCCTTACTCTGTCCCCCATGCACAGAACATCCCCCCACACACACACCATCAAGTTGCGTTTTTAATATTGCTCTTCAATAATTTTATCCTGAATGAGCATGAGGGGTTCTGAATCAGAGGCAGATTTCATTTAATTACCTTACAGTAAATATTGTTGCTGTGCCCTTCCTTTGCCCAAAGACTTACCCCCAGGGCAACATGATGAACGCTGATGAAACGTTTTCCTACTTGAGTGGCTGGGTACTCCATAAGTGGGAGACGAGGAAAATTCTTTTTCCTTTGCTTATAAAGGAGAAGGAGGCTGCTATCCCTCTCTCCTTCTGAAAGGTTCTCTGTGGAAACATAATGCGCCTGAGTTCTAACTCCAGCTTCTCCAGAAACCAGCTAGCCCTATGTGTCTCATGTTTTACAATCTAGAAATGTCTCCAAGGTCTGGGTTTTGTATTTTTGAAATGTAAATACCTAGAGAGATACCCACTCCAGTCTTTCTGACAACACAGAGTTTAGCTTAGGAATCTACCCTGAGCTATAACCATTTGACCCTCTTGGATCAGAGAAATGAACTAGATGAATCGCTACAGATCTAATCTCCATGGTGTGGGAAGTTTCTCAGGAGGCTAGAGCATTCTGTAGGTGAACTGAGACATCCAGGAAAGTTTATTTCCTCATACTTAGTTGAATTGCACCCAGCGTTTGCTCATCTACTCAATCTAGACACTGAGAGTCATTCTTGTTTCTTTTTCTCTCTTCTCTCCAGTATCTAGTCAGTCACCAAATTTTCACACTTCAGATTACTATCCCCGTCATTTTTCCTGGTACCATTGCCCTGAGTCAGATCCTCATAATCTTGCACTGAATTCTTACAATAGCCTCATTATCTCTCTGATTCCATTTCTGTTCTTCTCAAATACATACTCTGTATTTACATCAGGAAGATCTATTTGAAACACACATATTCCTGTGCCACTCCCTTGGTTAAAACCATTCAAAGGTTCCTGATTACCTTCAAGGCAACACCTAAGCCTCTTAGCGGACCATATATGATCATAGAGAGGCAGAGCTTCAAATTCTGGTTTAAAAATCTAATGTGTTTCCAGATAATGATAGCGTCTTTTTCATCTTTGGACATGCCCTCTCCTTGTTCTTTATGCTGTAGAAACACTGGCCTGCTTGAGATACCAATATATACCATACTGTTCTATGTCCTATGTCTCTGCACTTGCATTTTCCTCTTCTTGGAATGTCCTCTAGCATACTCTTCCTTGAATAAGTCATGTTCATGCTTTTGAATTCTATGTGATTACTAGCTTCTCCTGGAAGCTTTTCCTGATTTTCTTCCCCATATTGCGCAAGTCTATAGCACTGTCTACATTGTATTGAAATTATTTACATGTTTGACTCTTCTGTTATATGTTAAAAGTTCCAACTTTGTATTTCCAGTTTCAAGTACAACCACTGACATGTGATAGTTCAATAGAGGGAGCCATTATTATTTTTATAATTAGTAAGGTCAGTATTAATTGCCTCCAGTCAGGTCCAAACAGAGAACTAGGCAAAATGATAATTTACTTGAATCTGGGAAACTTAATTGTATGAAAAAATACACAAGAATACAGCAACTGTACACACACACACACACACACACAAACACAGATTTCAAGTGAAATATTAGGAGAATCAGCTTTATATGCAAGCAAAGTAAATAACTCACGCATCCAGCATGATTTTAGGGTACAGAAATATCCTATTATTCAGAAATTTCTTCCCTATCTATAGGCTGAATCCTAATATTCTACTTACAGAACTCCAGTATTTTGGTTCAAACGCCTTCCCTTTCTCTGTTGAATTGTAAATAACTGTGGATGATGAATCATTTTGCAAAATATCAGACTCAGGATTCTTTTGAATGGTGAACACCACTAAGATTTTATTAAAAAATGTGTCATACAATACAGCTGTGGAACACTTCTGTAACATAATGGTGTATCTGAATTTCGAGGAAGAATACTGCTAATTTGTTTTTCTCCAGTGAAAGAACAGGGCTTAAATTCAGCAGGCAACATTGCTAAAAGTAAGACAGAGTTGAAAAAAGTTACAGAAATTAAGCCCTAGATCAGGACAAATATTATGACTGTTATTGTTAAACAGATATATTAGCATGTATGTAGCATGCACTTAATAATTTTATTAATACCCTCACTTCTGAGATCAAAGAACCTGGGTCAATAACTCTCTTCAATGGTGTCAGAGTATCTGTTAGGTTCTTCTAGGCTCACGGTATGCCTCGCGATCCTTTTAGCACTCAATTATGTATGAACTTACTGTTTTCACTCTGCTTCTAGTGTTAATTTTCTCCCTTCTTTGGATCTAGAACCTTTTTGAAGGCAGAAACTATTCATTTTGTTTTTCTCTTGATCCCCTGGATAAAGGAATATTACAGATTAAACATTAATTCTAGGTCTGTTCATTTATAGAAACTAGCGCCCGCAATTCCTACATCCATAATAGCTCAAAACATTTCTACTATTCTCGAAGAGGTCACAATGGATGATGTAATGATGATTTTTCAAAAGTATTGAGACTTTTCAGTTAGCTTACCTGTTTTATACCTTGTCAGACATTTTGACAGAATTAACTGGTGATTATCAGTTGGATTAATTGTATACTTTAACATAGCCTAAGGTCCTGTAAATGACCCTTAAGGCTTCCCGTTATATTCTGGATATCCATTATTTTGGATATCCATTTGTTTAAGTCCTCATTAGCCACGCTAGAGCTTTGCAATATATACCTTGTAACTTTACCTGTAGATTTCAAGTATGGCTGTCAGGTTACATAAACAAAGCACTCTTATCTCAGTGAGAGGGCATTAACTGTTGGGAATGCTCCCCCCATCTCCCCAGAGTAGCTTTACAAACACAGCGCTTTCCTCATTAACAGATAGACCCATGTAGCCTTTTTAAAAAATCATTTTATAACCATCAGTGTATAAATAAAAGAGATAGAAATTGACCTGGGAGTTTCATAAACAAGTTCTAAGCACCCAGGATTAATTTTGAGAAGAATGCCACAAGCCAAATAAGCACTTCTTTTCATCTCCTTTCACAGGCCTTCAAGAGGGAATTGAAAACTAAAGAACCTGTAATCATGAGTACTCTTGAGACTGTACGAATATTTCTGACAGAGCAGCCTTTGGAAGGACTAGAGAAACTCTACCAGGAGCCCAGAGGTAATTGAATGTGGAACTATAATAACATATTGATAGAAGGATCAGTGGTGACAGAGCAGCCCATCCATTCTTGCTGCCAGGGCCTGGATAGCTCTCATATTTTCTTGGTTAAATAGAATCAATTCAAATTAAGCATAGATGCTGAAAAAAAATAAGGACTCATAAACTACCACGCATAAATCTGTTTGCACATTCATAAATAAACATTAAAAGAGATTAGCAATCAGTTATTGGAACATTTAGAAAATAATAAACAAAGGGAGTTATCTGTGAGGAGGAATTCTATTGTTGCAAAGACTACAAGTTAATTTTCCATTCAAGAGCCTGCCTAAAGTAAATGAGAGCTTGTGCTATGCATCCTAACGTTTTTCTCCTCAATAGCTTAAGTGAATCTTAAATTATCGGATTGATATAAGGTAGAAACTTAGGAAGACATACTTTAGATGTTCTGGGCTGTATCAAAATTTATGCCAAAGTATAAAAAAGCCATTAATCAGTAGGTTACCCTCTTGTTAAACTGTACTCTTTCTTTCTTCCAGTATGACCTTTTTGACAATGTTAAAAAAAAAAAAAAAATGAATGTGGCCTAAAACCTTGTTGTATTGCCAATTTAGAGCTGCCTCCTGAGGAGCGAGCCCAGAATGTCACTAGGCTTCTACGAAAGCAGGCTGAGGAGGTCAATACTGAGTGGGAAAAATTGAACCTGCATTCCACTGACTGGCAGAGAAAAATAGATGAGACCCTCGAAAGACTCCAGGAACTTCAAGAGGCCACGGATGAGCTGGACCTCAAGCTGCGCCAAGCTGAGGTGATCAAGGGATCCTGGCAGCCAGTGGGCGATCTCCTCATCGACTCTCTCCAAGATCACCTCGAGAAAGTCAAGGTACCGTCTACTTCTTTGCTTCGGGGCTCTTTGAGAGACTCAAAAGAGCTTCTAATCTGAACTTGAGTGCAGTGTTACCTTCCCACAGAGTTAAAGCTAGAGCACTTAAGCAATAGAAATCAGTCCATCTTTCACAAATTCAGTCTTCTTTCACATGGTATTTTCTCCAAGAGAAGACAGTGATCTAATCATTTGTCTGTCTTCAGTTATATGAAATGAAATATTAAAAAAGTTACAGGGCAAGAAATCATTTTGACTTTGCTATTAAGTGATTGTACTAAAGTCTGATGTATGTGTGTGTGTGTGTGTGTGTGTGTATGTATTGCTTGTGTTACTTAGTATCAGAATACAGAAAAATAAAACGCTTAATCAAGAGCCAGGAGTCTAGGTGTTGGCCCTTTTGCTAACTAAATTATATGACTTGGGTAAGTTATGGTATGGTGAAATAAGGTTGTTAATGTGTGGCCCTTCCCTTGGAAGGCAACATTTGTAATACAGTTTCAAGTTTCATCAGCCCACTGCAGAAGTATGGGAAAATCATTATATATTTGGAAGACTACTGTCTGTAAGACCAAAGTTAAATTCCCTTGTGGCACAAAGATGGCAAATGTATTCTACAGAAAAAAAATACATATTTAGGACTATCATTTTGAAATCAGCAACTACTCATCTATTGTCAAAACCACAAAAGTCCTCCTAGATTAAAATTCAAAAGAAGTTAAATTCCCTCCTGCACTCAGCATGTTTGCCAGCATCCTCAGCATCCTCATTCTAGAAGTTGTCCTCTTCCTTGGCTTTCATGGAACTGTTCCATCCATGTTCTTCTTCCTATATTTTTCTACATTCTTTACCTACCCACCCTTCAAATACTGTTGTGCCCAAGTTTCTAACCTTAGCCTAATTCTCTTTTGATTGTTTAAACCCTCCCTGTTTGAGATGGCATGGATGGTGATGTATCTACATCTCTAGTCCACATCTCTCTTCTGATCTCTGAATCCATATGGCATCAGGATCACAAATGCAACTATTCTGAAACCAAGTTCATTTGTTCCTCTGTTTTTCCATGTCCCTACTTCTGTCCCCTCCTATCTGACATTTTTTCCCCCTGTTTCCTATTTGAGTTAATGAATCATCATCCAACAAATTTTCCAGGCTAGAAACTTTAGGTTCATCCTTAAAGCCTTCTACATTTTCAGTGACAGCACATGATGGCTCATGTTACCTCAGAATAGCTCTTTTATCTTTTCTCTCCTCTTTTAACCAACGTCCTTTTTAATCCCCAGCATCTTTTAGTTAGATGATAACAGTATACATCTTTAAATCCCATTCACCCCTCCGTGTGCCTGGCATATCTTAGATACTGCATTTTAAATGTTTGGTGAATTAACGGATGGATGAATAGTTTCTTTACTGATGTTCCTGCATTACCCAGCCTCTTCCAACTCTAATCCAAACTCCTTGCAGAAGAATGCTTGCCTAGAGAATGAAATCCAATGAATAAGGAGATTAAGTGGCTATTTTCTTCCTAGCCCTGGCTTACCTTCTCAGCCATAGCTCCCGTTCTCCAGACCATTTAATACACTCTGCCCATATGAGATATATATATATATATATAGGTGTATACATATATATATAGAGAGAGAGAGAGAGGCATATTTGGGAAAAAGAGGTGATATGGGCAGAGTGTATTGAATGTGTGTGTGTAAAGTATATATGTGTGTGTATATATGTATGTATATGTATATACATACGTACATAGATAGATACATACATATATACATCGATATATACACACACACACATATATATCTGCCTTTGCAAATGCTGTTCTCTCTGTCTGGATCCCCTTACATTGTCTACTTGGTGAATTCTCACTCAGCCCTCAAGGACCAGCCAAAATGTTACCTATCTTTGTTGTCTTTCCTGGGTGTCTACAACCCCCAACTCCCACCAAGCAGAAGAAACTGCTCACAGTTGGTGCTCTCATAGATCACCAAGCATGTTAAATTGTCACACTTAAATTTCACATATATTGTAGCAACTTGCTTATGCCTTTTTTTTCTCCCAGAGAAAATGAGGTTGCTAAGAGCAAGGATCATGCTGTACATCTTTGGGCTCCTAGCCCAGGGCCAGCAACATGTGAGGAATCTCATTAAGTACCTTCATTTATTCACTCAACAGCTGTTTATCAGTCATTATATAATGTGCTGGACAGGTAATTATAAAAGAAACAGACTTGGTCATTGCCTTCATGAAGACTATGGTCTAATGTTGAATTGCATAGCTCTTCATTAAAATAGTAGGTAAAAAATTTAAAAAGAAAAGATTAAAAATTTGACTTTAATACTTCTAAAATCCCTTCTACCCCAACATTTTATGACCCCATGTCTAACATTTAAAGTAAGGGTGAGCTTTGCCGTCTTCTGGAAAACTAAGTGTTTTGAAATGTATTACCTAGTATTTTAAAAGCATTAAATATGTTGATTTTATTAAAAAATATAGGGACTAATTTTTTGACAGTCTTCTCCAAAAATGAGAAATAAGTTAGGAAAATGTCCCAGTGGAACTAAATTAGTTAATATATCGATTAAATTGCTCCATATATAGGCCATAGAGCAGACATAAGGGATTCATTTTTAGCCATACTTGTCACACAGGTGCATTTGTAAGATACTGAGTATGGATGGAGAAGAGAATGTGTATAGCATAATTTAATAATTAAAAATAACTAAAAGCATAACAGTTCAAGTATCAGCTGGCCTTCACCCAACCCTATTTGCAGTATTCCTTTTAGTTTCCCTGTCTTATCTGTTCTTGGTCTTAAGACAAACTTCATTTTCCATACCCTAATTGGTAAAACTGTCATTCTGATCCCAATAATAGCAAAACGTATAAATATTAAACATACCTTTCAAAAGATTATATTTATAACCCAACACATCTATCTTTCTCAGACATATATACACTTAAGTTATGGTACTTATCTAAATTTTTATGTACTGGTAATAATAGATGTGATTGTTTTGGCTTTTGAATCAGTGTTGTATTTTATGCATGTTTCAAACTATGAATTACATGAATTCATATATATTTATCTCCCTTCAGTAGCTCTTCTTCAATTTTGCAATGGAAATAAATCATTTTTCTCCATTGCATCTTATTGACACTGGGTTTGAAACACTGAAGCTTTGGGGGTAGTAGTTTACAAGGAATGAGTTTTAATAACTAAAATTTATTTCAGAAAAAAGTAGAAGTGTACTTGAAACCACTGTTCCCATTTTTCCACTCAGCAGTTTAAGCCCTCAGAGGATTCATGCTGTAGGGAACTTGAAACTGATAACTAGGCAGCTAGCCAGAAGAACATTTTATATATCCATATCAGTTCATTTCCCTCACCCCTAGAGACTCTATCATAGTACCCCCCTCCGTCTCTGATGATGATGTCTAAATACCTTGTTTATTACCAGTGACCTCACACGTCACACCCCCCACTCGCCTCTCTCTGCACACACTCGTCTCTACTCACATCGCACTCACGCAAATCTCTCACTCAAAGACACGCGTCCACACACACACTCGACTCAAGTCGCCTGGCCTTTATGGAAAAATGGCGTCTCATTGCTAGCCTGATCATCTCCAGGTCTGACATCGTGCTAAATTAACAGGATGCCCACACACACACACTCACCTCACTCTGACTAATATTGCTCACTACAGAAGACATCTCAGCTTCCAACACACACATCAGGCAACCACAACCAGTAGAACTCCCAAAACTCTTTAACGTTTTAAATGGCTCGCGTTTTTCTCTTTTTTTTTTTTTTTTTTTTTTTTTTTTTTTTTTTTTTTTTCTTTTCTTTTTTTTTTCTTTTTTTCTTTTTTTTTTTTACACACTTTTTTCTTTTCTTCTTTCTTTTTTTTCTTTTTTTTTTTTTTTTTTTTTTTGTTTTCTTTCTTTTTTTTTTCTTTTTCTTTTTTTTCGTTTTCTTTTTTTTCTTTTAACATTTTAAAATTCATGATTTACTACTGCTTAATCCAAATAACTTAAGGGCAAGCATCATGGAATGACTTTTCACTTTACTGAAAATCGCACGCAGTGCTTATTTGACTAGACAAATATTCTAGCTTCTTGCTAATGCGGAGAAATAGGAAGTAAGCTCTTTGAATCACTAGGTGCTCCACATAGATCTGAAGTGGAATCATATACACGCTTTAATAAACGCACACTCACACTCACACTATCACGCGCACCCGCAAGTATTCTTGTTCTTCAGGCACAATCAACGCAGGAAACGCATTGCTTGTTTTCTTTTTTCTTTTTTTTTTTTTTGAAGTCTCACTCTGTTCAGGCGCACGCACGCTCGCGGAGATCTCGGGCCTCACGGCAACTCTGCGCTCACCTGGGTTCAAGGGATTCCCTCGCTCCAGCGCGCGCACGCGCTACGCCGCGCACACACACGCGCCGGCGCACACATGCGCATCGCGCACTCACTTCCTCTCACCTCACCACACACCGGGTTCGTCCACATCGCTCGCAGCACGCTCTCGATCTCTTCGATCTCATGAACTCCGCCACTTGCGCCACACACACGTGCTGGATCTCACACGGCACTCGACATCACTCTCGCGCACACTCGCGCTCTATTACTCTCCTGTTTCGCTCACACTCACAACATGGTTTCTCTTTTTCTAAATTTTCTTTTTGGAGCAATCTCGGCTCTGTCAAACCCCCGCAGGCGAAGTGCAGTGGCCGGCTATCTCATGGCTCAGCTGCGGCCTCTGAGCTCTGCGTTCAAGCAATCTCGCCTCAGCTCCCAAATGCGCTTGGCGGCTCGCAGGTGCGCACGCGGGTGCCCAGCTTTTTTTTTTTTTTCTTTTTTTTATTGTATTCTTTTAGTACACGAGAACTGGGGACATTTCACCACGTTGCGCAGGCTGGCTCTCGGAACTCTGCACCTCAGGTGATCGCAACTCACCCTTGGCCTCCAGACAAGTGCTGA